GATGAGCTCTGCAATAAAACAAACAAAAAAGATTACGTCAAATTACAAATGACTCTCTGTCAAAGGCATTCCCCCCTACTCTCTCCAAATCAAAGGTTACAATCAGCTAACTTTGGCCCATGTGGGCCCTACTTTGGGTATCTGTTTTAAAGAATATAACAGGAATGTAACATTTCACACTCAAAATGTTAACCCCGGATTAATAAAGGGACTAAGCCGACAAGAAAATGAACGAATGTGGTCCTTGGTGATTCCAAGGTAATGGAATTGGTAATTGGCCAATATATATATATATATATATATATATATATATATATATATATATATATATATATATATATATATATATATATTCAATATTACTTGCAGTGAAGATTTATTTCAATAATGTTTATGGTTATATATATATATATATATATATATATATATATATATATATATATATATATAAAAGCATTAACCTACATTTTTATTCTAGTCATAATTGTATATTTGTATCCTTTTTTTTTTTTTTTTTTGAGTATGCCAGAATATCACAAACTGTTTAAATGTTTGTCACATTTTCTTCTGTAATTAGACTTTTGGTTTTACATTTTTTAACACATAATAATATAAATAAAATAAATATATTTATGAATATAATTTTAATATTTTGACCTTTAATGTATTTTATGTAGCTATGCATACGTTTGTTTCTTGAATTTGTTCTTTGGTAAAAAAAAAAAAAAAATTATAGTAATATAGGGGCTTTAAAAGCTTCTCAAAATGCATAACAACAAAGCTAAAAGATACACACAAAACATAAATAAAACAAAAGAGATAGAAACATAAAAAGAGAGAAAACCAAGTCAAGATAATAAAAGACAAATTAATATAGCTCAAATTATACATAACAACTATAATCACTAACAGTTTTTAAATTATCACTTAAAACATACTTGTGATATGTTTTAAATGATAGTTTAAAAACTGTGAGTGATTCTGCAGGCTTGACCAACTGAAACAGTTAAGCAGAACTATCCACACTTATGATTGAGGGCTTTGATTTTCGCATCTAATGCTGTAAACCAATAAACATCACTTCAGTCTTGTCACTGTTTAAACATTTACTGACGTATATATATATATATATATATATATATATATATATATATATATATATATATATATATATATATATATATATTTATTTTTTTTACTTTCAGTAAGACATTAGAATAGAGAGAGGACACATTGATGTCTGGTTTTGATTGCATAAAAATCTGAGTATCAGCATGAAAGTGAAAATTAAGCTGGCCAAGAGGGAAAAGAAAAATACTAAAAAGTAGAGGGTCCAATACTGAACCCTGAAGAACACCACAGTGAAATCATCCACCAAAACAAACTGTTTGCGAACAGAAAGTAGGACTTTAAACATTTCAATGCAGAACCTGCAACTTCAAAAATAGACTTTAAAGGGCACCTAGGTTACCCCTCATTTTCCAGATTTAATAGAAGTCTTTTGTGACCCCAGAATGTGTCTGTAAATTTCTAGCTCAAAACAGCCTTAGACAACAGACAGACATGAAAGAAACAGGTCTCACGTAGCGTTTGTGAGAAATACTACAGTAAGAACTTTACCAATGAGTATTTGATGCATTTGTTGGAACGATTGCAACCAATTGAAGATGCAACGATGAGTCACACACAATGTCGTTACAAAGCTCTGCACTCCTACATAAAGTTGTGGTCGGTCTGAAAACTGCTCCAATTGGTCCATTTTTATGTTGTTAAATTGAAAAAAAAGGACTGGGTGTGTTTATATCACTCCAATATGACGGTCTATACACTAAATCTACACATATGTCTGTCCAAACAGCTTAAAAAGTAGATTTTTCACCATAGGTGCCCTTTCAGTCAGCGGTTAAAATGCAGTATCAAAATATTGAGAGGGATCGGTAACTAAAATTAACTAATTTTAACTAACTGACCTTAACTAATGCTGTTTTAGTGCTGTGGACTTTTTACGGAATCTAGATTAAATTGGTTCAAAAAGATGAGAAGAAAAAAGATGAGAAAGCAAAGAAACCACTGTTTGTCCAAGAATTTTTTCAAGAAATCATTCTGGAAATGATTCTGGTTATAGCCGTCTATGTTGTTAGTCTTTGGTATAGGGGTGACAGCAGCAATTTGAAGTTCTGTTGGTACAACACCAGTGCACAGGGAGACATTTATGATACTCAAAACAACAGCACAAATTTAATCAAAACATGATATGAAAAGACAAGATGGTAGAAACATAAATAGCAAAACTGGAGAGTGAGACACCAGAAAATACAGAAATGTTCCATAGTAAATTGGTCATGTAAATGCGTATCAGTTTGTTGCTAGAAAACTCTTAAATAAAAAAAAACACAAAAAAAAAAAAGTTGAGCTGAAGCAAGAACGTGTGGTTTTTAAGTAGCCTAATTAAAAAGTTTCCCTAATTGTTTTATTATTTGTTAAAAAAAACAAACAAAAAAATTAATTATTAAAATTTAATAAAATTTTTCAAGTCTTGTATGGAATAAAATCACAGTCATAATTATTTATTCTAAGAAAAAAGAAAACAAAAAAAAAACTCACAAAATGTCACTATTGAGGCGACGCAGTGGCATAGTAGGTAGTTCTGTCACCTCACAGCAAGAAGGTCGCTGGGTTGCTGGTTCGAGCCTCTGTGTTTCTGTGTGGAGTTGTGATGTTCTCCCTGCGTTCACGTGGGTTTCCTCCAAGTGCACTGGTTTCCCCCACAGTCCAAAGACATGCGGTACAGGTGAATTGGGTAGGCTAAATTGTCCGTAGTGTATGTGTGTGTGTGTGAATGAGTGTGTGTGGATGTTTCCCAGAGATGGGTTGCAGCTGGAAGGGCATCCGCTGCATAACATCTTGCTGGATAGGTTGGCGGTTCATTCCGATGTGGCGACCCCAGATTAATAAAGGGACTAGCTGACAAGAAAATGAATGAATGAATGTCAGTATTGATAGTTCCTTATATTAACTGCTGCACGATAGTCTCAATACATATTTTCAATTCTCATACACAATGACTGAACAGAATACCATCAGAAAATGTCTAGCGACAGGGAGTTTGCTTTTTTACATGTTTGGTATAATGTTTATTATATGATAATGTTTTCTTGTTTTTACTTCTATGAATATGAGCACTACTGTATGTAAATATATTATAGTTTCTTGCTTCTCACCTCCACCAGTCGTGTGTACTATATGAAATGGAGCACCTAAGGAAATCAGAAGGCTCGTTTTCGAACTGAAAACAAAAAGTATTTTTTGTACCATAATATAAAATACTGGACAACACGGTGGCGCTGTCACCGACTCGGTCCCAGTCATTCCCCTCGCTAGCCAGCAGAGGTCACCATCCCCGGACTTCTAACCATTACATCATCCATTTACACTGATAAGCCTGCACACCTGAAGCGCATCCACCTAATCACATACGCTCACGCTTATAAGCAGCACTCTCACACTCAGTCATTGCGAAGTCTTGTTCTGCCCTGGCTAACACTACTGAGCGGTTCTCTACACTGCCTGCTTTCCCGTTGCTTACCTTGCCTTGTTCTCTGACCTTGTCCTGCCAGCCACCTGCCTTGTACTTCAGCCTGATTACCGACTCTGATTCTAGCCGCCTGCCTTGAACTTTAGCCTGGACTCTGACTTTGATATTTGCCGCCTGCCTCTTACCCATGCCTGGACATTCATACTGTGATTACCTGCCGTTGATACTTCAACGTAACATGATTGTGTTTGATGCGAGTTCGCACACACATTACATCTGTGTGCTTGTGTTTATTAAACTGTGTTTAATAAATTTACTGCAAATGGATCCCTCTGTGTCAGCCCCTTCCTTACAGGCACAGTGTTCAGCACTGTAGCAAGAAGGTTGCTGGTTTGAGCCCCGGCAGGGTCAGTTGGCATTTATGTGTGGAGTTTGCATGTTCCCCATGTTAGTGTGGGTCTCCTCCTGGTGCTCCAGTTTCTCCCGCAGTCCAAAGACATGCGCTCTAGGTGAATTGAATAAGCTAAATAGGCCGTATATGTGGGTTTAAATACAAGAGTGTATGGGTGTTTCCCAGTGCTGGGTTGCAGTTGAAATGGCATCCGCTTAGTAAAACATATACTGGATAAGCTAGCGGTTCATTCCGCTGTACCTACCTCTAATTAATAAAGGGACTAAGCCAAAAAGAAAATGAATTAATGAATATAAAACCCCAACCCAGACAATATATCACTTTAAACTATTAAAAATGTTAATAAAAGTCCCCTTTTCGAAATTTTCAAGGATAAAAGTTGTTGGATGAAAGATCAAAGTGCCATAATACAATTTAAAAGCATAAATAAACAGGGGGAAATAACAATAATAATCACAAATTACAGAAAACTGCTAATCTAATTTACAGATTTTAATTACACTCTTTATGCAAGCTTTTGTACTACAATAATATCAGATTCGTCGGAAAATAACATTAAAAACATTTGTTGTAAATAATACTGGAAAATAATTATAATCTTTGGCGAAAAATAAACACAACCTCTCCAGTGATTTGAAATAATCAATGGAAATTTAGTAGGCTAGAATAGCAGATATCTGGAGTTTATCATCCTGACAGGTTAAATATATGTTACAGACTCTTTTCATGTTTAAACCCGGCTGAGAAATCCAGTAGGTGTGTTTAAGTACATGATAGGTGCTTTCTAGCTGGTCTAAGCTGGTCATTAGCTGTTGTAAGTTGGTTGTTAACAGCTACCATGTTCCAAATCCCATTTAGACTACATTAAACCCCTGCAACCATGTCATTTATTGCTGTGATAAATGATTTATCAGTTTTCACCAGCTTATAATCAGCCTGAATCAGCTAATGATAATAGTTACTATATTCCTGACAGCTTTTACAGATAGACTCTTCCAACAGGGAAGGGCTTTCCATGAATTTAATGGGTGTGTAAAAGGCTGTTATCATGGCTCATGACTGGTCATCTTCATTGCTCTGCTGTCATATTATAATTCAGGGCTTCGCAGATCTCTGCTGCAGAATTATTTGAGAACCCTAGCTGGGCAGTTGTGTTCTTTCGGAAACTATGCTTTCTTTCCTGGAGTTTTTGGGAAGCTTGAGCATCTTCTGTGCTGTATTAGCCCAGGCGTCTGGAATGGAAAGAATCTTCTATATTGCGATTCGAGAGGAAGAGTGGGATTATGCACCAAGTGGACAGAATCTGATCAATGGGAAGCGTATTGAAGAGGATGAGTAAGAGATTTATTTATTTATACAAATAAATACATTTTTAGATTTTTGTATAGCTATATTTATAATTAATTCTATTTTTATTCATGTATTATATTATTTATTATGTTTTAATGAATCTACATAATTACACAATGCACACAATTTAACAAATATTTTATTTTATGGTTTTATTTTAAAAGTCAACAATTTTAATTCCTATGTATATTATTTAGACACCATTCTTGATACTTTCTTACAGGTGGGGTCAAGACATAGTATTAAGTTGTGTACATAAGGATAGCAAAATAATGAAAACTTTGACATTGAATTCATAAGTTCTTCATACTGTAAACTAAAATCCAACAAGAGTTAAAGAAAACTGCAGCAGCAAGTCTGGGAAATTGCTGAAGTTCAGGTTTGCATGAAACTGGAGACTACAGGCTGTCATTGAGAATAAGGGTGGGCAACAAATGTATACTATTGACACTGTAAATATTATCATACTAGGACTTGTCTGAATTATTTTTGATGGATGGTAACCTTTCAATCAAAGTTATCTAATAATATCAAGATAAATTTATTCTGAAAGAGTCTGCACTCTTGCGTTCTTGTCATAAATTACTATAATTTTCTAAACTTTAGCAAAATAACTGTGATAATGTGAGAAATGTAGAGAGTATCAGAACTTACACATAAATATTTTATATATATATTCCTTCGGCTTATTCTTTTATTTATCAGGGGCCGCCAACTATTTCGGCATATTTTTTTTACACAGAGGATGCCCTTTTAGCCGCAACCCAGCACTGGAAAATACAGAAAATATATTCATATTAAACAATTATTTTTTTATGCATAATTGCCAGCCATTGGAGAGGGGTCTGGCTGCAGACCTGGTGCAGTGCAATCTGGGCTGCATCCAATGCTTTTTAATCACACCTAACCCCACCCCTAACCCTACCCGTCACAGTGACGTCACTAGCTCCATTTGAGTGCATTGCGTCTGACATTGTATCGCTGAGTGATGCAGTCTCAGCTTGCATCATAAAGGCTGCATTCAGATACTATTGAGCTATTGTGATATGCAGCTCATTGCCTTAGAATTATAAGGTTCTAGCTAACATTTTTGTCAAAAATTGAGTTATTCTTATCACATATGAGTGATTTTTTATAAGTTGTTTATATTTTAAGACTTTATTTAAAAAACAAAAAAGGTTTTATCTACAAAAATCAAGTTAATCAAAATCAAATAAAGTTTTAGCTTAGCTTTATAAGGTTCTTTCTGTTAGTCAATCAGCATTTCAAATGCACGCACGAGTTCCTTGTTACATTGTAATTACTATGCTGTTACATTACTATTACATTGCAATTACATCCATTAGAATATTTATAATTTTTTTTAATATATTTGAAATACTTTAATTGTGTATTTACATGTAAACAAACTATTATTTTGGATATATTTACTATATTGTTATAACATTGTAAATTCATTGTCGTAACAATGTAATAATAGTGTAATTAAAATTGTATAACAATGTTATAATAATGCAATTACAATGGTATAACAATGTCATAATAATGTAATTACAATGGTACAATAATGTCACCCCAATGGTATAACAATGTAGTCATTGCAATTGTATACCAATGTTGTTACATTATTATTACATTGTACATACATTGTACTGATATAACATCGCAATTACATAGTCATGACAATGTTACAGCTTTGCAATTACTATATCGCTATAACATTGCAATTAATACATTATTATACCATTGTAATTAGATATTGTACCATTGTAATAGCATCGTAATTACTATATATTTTTATAACATTGTAACTACATTGTTATAGCAATGTAACAACATTGTAACTACTACTTGTTATACCATTGTTATAACATTGTAATGACATACTCATATCAATTTAATAACATCGTAACTACTGCATTGTTATCCCATTATAATTACATTGTTAAAACATTGTTATACCATTGTAATTACTGTATGTTATAACATACAGTACACAGTATATTAAAATTACATTGTATTGCTATTACAATGTTACAATAATTTAATTACAATTCTATAAAATGTAGTAATTGCAATGTTATAAAGATATAGTAATTAAAATATTATAACATTGTTATGAAAATGTAATTACTATATTATAACAATATACATTGACTGTGTGCATTAGCATTACTTTTTGTCTATTTGAGAGATCCCATCACAGTTGCGTTCCAGGTTCCAGTGCTTCAAAGAAGGAAACAGGTGCGCGCACACGCATCACATCAGCTGTTAGCGCGAGTGATCATCCTCTCATTCGGTATTCATCTGCTTTCTTCTGCTCGCGCCAATGCATTTTTTTTGTTAGTCGTGCTGTTTCTCCATTCTAAGATCACATTCACACGCATATTGGGTCCCTCTTATAGTCGAACCCTGCTTTTAAGCAAACCACAATTTAAAAATTATTTTTAACCAGCCAAAGTGGCTAGGGGGAGTGACTGTCTAACACGCCAAAGCTGAAATCTACCCGCATTTGGCGGGTTGGCGGGTGTTAATGTAAAGCCCTGATTATAGTTACATCTAAGATATTTATAAATCTAAAAATTACTTTGTATATTGCATGTACAGTGTTTATTTAGTTATTTATAGTAGATATGTAATAACAAATTATTAGTTTGTTGTAAAATTGTGATGTAATTACTTTGTATTAACATTGTAGCTGTATTGCTATAACATTGTAATAACAGTATAATTACAATATTGTTATAACATTGTAATTATATTGTAACTACTACATTATACCATTGTAATTAATTTATTGTTAAAAGATTGTAATAACTGTATTGTTATAACATTGCAATTGCTATATTATTATAACATTGTAATAACATTGTAATGGAATTATATGATAGTATTGTATATGTTTTTGCATATTTTATGTACAGTACAGTATTGTCACAATGTAATTACAAGGTTCTATCTGACGTTTTTGTGAGTTATACACATTCTTGTGAGTTGTACATATTCTTATTAAATGACAACCTATTACTATTATGTTTTAAAATAAGTTGTTTACATTTAAGACTTTGTAAATAAAATTTTTTTTGTTTTTTAAATAAAAAGTCAAACTCTAGCTTGGCACTATATGGTTATTTCTAAGAGCCAATGAGCATTTCGAATGCACACATGAGGGCCTTGTTAGATTGTAATTATATCCATTTATAAACATGTTTCTTTGTATATTTCAAGTACTGTATTTGTGTATATTTATATGTAAATTTATATAGTACAAGTAATTACAAGCTATTATTTTGGTGTATAATTTTGATGTAATTACTATGTGTTAACATTGTAGTTGCATTGTTATAAAATTAAAACATTGTAATAACAATACTGTTATACCATTGTAATTAAATTGTTATAACTGTTATTACATCTATGATACCATTGTAAATGTTTTTGTACATTTTATGTTTTATGTGCAAAACAGTATTGTCACGTTAGAATTATAAGGTTCTATCTGACGTTTTTGTGAGTTATTTACATATTCTTTTTAAATGATAACTTATTAAAATTATGGGATTTTTTTAATAAGTTGTTTACATTTTAAGACTTTTTATTAAAAAAACAAAAAAGGTTTTATATACAAAGTCAAACTCTAGCTTGGCACTATAAGGTTCTTTCTGTGAGCCAATCAGCATTTCGAATGCACGCATGAGGGCCTTGTTACATTGTAATCATATCCAAAGAAATATTTATAAACATGTTTCTTTGTATATTTCAAGTACTGTATTTGTGCATTTATATGGAAAAATACACAGTACATATGTAATTACAAACTATTATTTTGGATGTAATTGCTAAATTGTTATAACGTAATCACATTGTTATAAAAATGTAACAATATTGCCATTTCTATATCGGTAAAAGATTTTACTTACATTGTTATAACATTGTAATGACATAGAAATTACTATACTGTTTTTACATTGTAACTACATTGTTATAGCAATGTAATAACATAGTAATTACTACTTTTTTATAGCATAGTATTACATTGCTATAACATTGTAATTACATCTATGATAGTATTGTATGTTTTTGTATATTTTATGTATAGTACAGTATTGTCACTTAAGAATTATAAGGTTCTATCTGTCATTTTTGTGAGTTATTTACATAATTTTAATGAATGACAACATATTTACATTATGTGATTTTTTTATAAGTTGTTTGCATTTTAAGAGTTTTTATTTAAAAAACAAACAAAAAAGGTTTTATCTACAAAGTCAAACTCTAGCTTGGCTCTATAAGGTTCTTTCTGTGAGCCAATTAGCATTTCAAATGCACAGACGAGGGCCAATCAGGATCAGCTATCTTTGTCATTTCGCCACTTTGCTCCATTGACAGTGGGAAAGACCAGAAAAAAACACAAAATCAGAGTCAACCAATGAAACATTTTTTAGTGTTTATTAAACTCCCTTGCTTCTTTGATATAAAGCCTTGAAGGGCAAATACTATTTCATGGAGCATATAATATAACATTAACAATGGTATTCAATAATTACAATGGTATTCAATTATTCATATAATGCATATAATTCATATTAATTACATAAAATTAACAGCTGCACTGGACAAAATATTTAGCAGAGCCTTGTATGCTTAATTTGAACAAGAAAAAATATTCACGCTAAAACATTAATTAAATATTATAGAAAAAAAAAAAAGATTTCATATTACATATTACAAATAAAGAGTGTAACACATAACATAATACATTTTTATTAAATGTTAGCTACTCATTTTTTTATATATAATATTAAGCTATAATTCAATGTCTATTTATGTTCCTCCAAATATTTGCCTAAATTGAATGCATTCAATATATTGAGTGTATTTATCAAATGCACTCAATTATGGAAGAAAATTACCCGTTTAAGCTAATAATTCTTCAGAAAACTCTACTTACTTTCTTTTTCCTCAGGCAGGCATCAGTATTTCTGCAACGTGGGGCTCGGCGGATTGGCAGTGTGTATAAAAAGGCAATTTACAGGCAGTACACAGATTCTTCTTACTCTCAGGAGGTCCCCAAACCCCCCTGGCTGGGTTACCTGGGGCCCATCATGAGGGCTGAGGAGCAGGATGTTATCATAGTGCACATGAAGAACTTTGGCTCCAGACGTTACTCCATGCATCCACATGGCGTCTTCTATGCCAAAGACTCAGAAGGTAAAGCCTCTTTCTGTCTCAATCACTCCTTCTTGCTGATCATTTCCATTTCTACCTTGGGATAGAACATAATAGAAAGATGATTGTGATGGCGTTTTTTCTTAATTTTGAGTTGTTTCTGACAATTTTATCACAATACTGTGTGTATATTTTTCTATTGCTTTAGTTCTCACAACCTTGAGTTCATTTATCGTAATTTGCTGTTTGCATTTTTCAGTTTTGACTTTTTAAAATCAGATTTGGAGCTTTATTTCTCAAGATGGGTGTTTAGGTAATCTCACACTTTTGACTTTGACCTGTCTCAGTAGCAAGATATAAACAGATATGTTTTTTCTGAATATTTAAAATTAACAGTTCATGATTATGTGTATCAGAATTCTGATGCCCTTTTTGCCACAACTGCAATTATATTTATCACAATTGCGCACTTCTCAAGCAACTATCTTGCTGTGAGGCGAATGTGCTAATTTGACTATTGTACCTTTCGAAATTCTGACTTCACATTTCTAACTTTGTTCTCTGAACTGTGACCTGTTTGTCATTTAATTACATGATTAATTAAATGATTAATCTCACAGGATTTATTTAATCTTACGTGATTAATTTTACAATATCACAATTTAGATTTTTTTGGAACTGCAACTTTTTTCACAATTGCATCTTAATTTACATATTGCCATTTAGTTTTTTTTATTACGTTACAAAGATCATATTGGCTAAATCTTATTTTCATATCAATAAATAAGACGAAATGTGCCATTTTGAGCTTGTTTAAAATTAATCAGACCCTGTTCCCAATCACACATAAAAGGTCTCACTACAACCAAATAATGACAATGACCAAAAGAATACTGCAGGAGTGGTCGAGCAATGGTTCAGGGATAACAGCATTAACATTTCGCACTCTGGAGGGGCCTACTCATAGCCTTGACCTGAACCCAATTAGGAATTTGTAGCGAGAGAAGATCTGATTAAGTTTTGAAGTATTATAATCTTCAGCATACTGTATATACATGTATGATTATTTATTGCCATTTTTTAGCTTTAGAATTTTTTTTTTCGCAATTGTTTGTTGCATCTCAGCATTCTGAGTCTATACTTAATTTTTTTTTTCCACAGTAAGTTATATCTTCCAATTCTGAGTCTATCATAAGAGGTCTCGCAATTCAGACTTTTTCACATTTTTAATTTAGATTTTTTTTCTTTGAATTCTAAGACATAAACTGACAATTATTCCTTTTTTCTTGCAATTCTGAATTTAAATCGTGGAATTCAGACAGAATTCTAACATTCAAAATTCTGACATAATGAATTGTCACAATTATGAGATGAAAAATAAAGACATGATATTTTATTTTAAATAATGTAGTCACAATAATTCTGTCACAATTCAATGTTTTATTTTGCGGAGTTTTTTTTCTCCTGTAATGTAATGTTGTCTCTACCAGGTGCGTTGTATCCAGACGGAACCTCAGACAGTCTGAAGCAAGATGACGGTGTTCCTCCAGGGGGAAACTACACCTACACCTGGATTGTGAAAGCAGAATCTGCCCCTCAGAAGGATGACCCAAACTGCCTGACATGGGCCTACCATTCACACGTCAGTGCTTCACAGGACATCTCCTCTGGCCTTATTGGAGCTCTTCTCACCTGCAAGAAAGGTAAATTTCAGCAGACATTCTGACTGCTACCAGACGTATACAGTATGTTAGATAAAGGTCAATTACACTATAAAATAATAAATATATTTTTAAGTTGTAAATAAATCTATGATTATTGGAGTGAATTGCACATCAAAATACATTTTAATCTTTCTATCCAATTTTATGCTTAATTCAATGTGCTACTGAAATTGTATATGTGTAATAATACTACAGTTAGAAAATAAATATTTCATCTTTATGTTTCTGCCTAAATGGGCTATGTATGTTTTTAAATAATTGTTTAATTGTTGTTGATATTTTTTTAAACTGTACAATAGATTACATTTAAACATATATTATGTTAGCATTGCAATCCAGTTATGGAAATTAAATAGCCTTGAAATTGCAGTTTGTTTTCTAATTGAATAGTTCATTTTTAATAGCGCAATAAACTACAACTGATGAATATTAACATTATTGTACTCTGTCCTCTTTAATGTTTCCCTAATTGCAATGTTTTAGAAATAAGAAACATATTTCTCAAAGAATATCATATATTAAGACATTCCAGAAAAGGATTTGTATTATTTGGCGTAATTATTTTGGCATAGTTTAAGTCAAAATAACTTTACAACTATAATTGTAATTAATTTGTCTAATTTCATTTAACTTCAAACTTCTATTTATCTAGTAATTTATTTATTTATTTACATTTCAATACTGTAATAATATTAAAAACACTTATTACAACAAATAACTAATAATAGCAGTGATTTTATGGTTATTCAATTTAAATAATTGTATTTAAAATATTTCCTTAAATTAATTTGCCTTGTTGCCTGCACTGTAAAACCCCAAAACGAAACCATTTCTCAAACCATTTGAGAAAACCGATTGCAACAAACCATTTAAGTTCAAAAACTAATCCTAATGAGTACTGTGAACTTAATCTATTTGAGTAAATGAAGCAATTTGAGCACAGTAAAACCCAATAAATGAAGAGAACTCAAACCAACTGACTACTCTAAAACGTAATAAGTTAAGGCAACTCAAACCGTTTGAGGAAACCGATTGCTAAAAACCATTTGAGTTAAAAAACTAATCAATATGATTACTGTGGACTTACTCTGTTTAAGTTGAAGTATTGAGGTATTTAATTAACTCATTACTTTGTTCAAAAATCTTTTTAAATGAGCAAAATTAACATTCAGTAAATTTTGAGTATTTACACTGACTTCATTTGGTAAAGTTGACTGTTGGGTTTTACAGTGTGGTAAACGTCTTTATGAGGTAAAATTCTATTGAATGTGACATCATCTGAAACTCAATCAGGAACCCTGTGTGAGACGTCCACTTCCGATCAGCACCACGCTCATCGTGAGGATGTGGACCAGGATCTCATCCTCATGTTCAGTGTGGTGGATGAGAACATCAGCTGGTATCTAAAAGAGAACATCCAGAGCTTCTGCTCCGACCCAGATGGTGTGGATCCTGCAAGTGAAGACTTCCAAGAATCCAATTTGATGCACGGTACGTATATCAAAACTCAATCTATAAAATTAAAATGTTTTTAAAAAATAAAAATAAATAAAATAAAAGAGCAGTTCTTTGTTCATTTAAAAAGTTCATTGAAAAATTCATAAACCAAGATAGCAGTTTAAGTCATTAAGTAAATGTTCTTCATTTTTCAGCCATTAATGGATATGTGTATGGAAACCTACCGGGGATTGAGTTTTGTCAAAACCGCACAGTTGCTCTGCATCTCTTTGGCATGGGCAATGAGATCGACATTCACTCAGTTTATTTCCACGGGCACACACTTCTGGACCGCGGGCACCGTGTGGATGTCATGAGTCTGTTTTCTGCCACTTTTGCCACTGCAAACATGATTCCTGCCACAATAGGGACGTGGCTGTTAAACTGCCAGGTCAATGATCATCTGCAAGGTAAAATTTAAGGAAGCATGTTTTTGGATGATACAACAATATCATAAGTTCCTTCCTGTAATTAGCAGGTTTTTTGCTAATAAGGGTTTTGATCGAAACTAAATATAAATATTAATAAAGACTCTACATTATAAATTTAAAAAAGTGAATGAATAATTACTGTATAACAGTACAATATACTGTGCATATATACAATAAATTTATATTATAATAACAATAATAATAATTAAGAACAAGTAAACAATTAAGTGAAATATTGCAATATAAATTGTATTGAAAGATACATGAATATATAAAATATTATTTTAAATGATGTTTGTATTTTGTAAATGATGAAGATTGAATTAAAGTAAATTGTTTTAAAAAGTAAATGAATAATATACAATTTGCGGTTTCCATGAAGTTTACTATATTAATTTGTTTAATACTGCATATTTTTATTTTACAGTGCACATTTACCTTTTTATTTTTATCAAATGTTTACTATTCATTTTCATCTAATTTGTTTTTATTTGTCTGTAGTATTCTGTTATTTCATTTAAATAAATGTTTTTAAAAAATCATTGCAGATACCTTTTGCTTATTGTCTTCAATAGCTGGTATGCAGGCACTGTTCAATGTGTCGTCCTGCAGTGATGAGGCGAGCTCCACGGCTCCTCTCAGTGGGAAGATCAGGAAGTATTTCATTGCTGCTGAGAAGGTTCAGTGGGATTACGGACCATCAGGGATGAACCAAGTGACCAAGGAGTCTCTAATCGATCCTGGAAGGTAGAATATTTGATTATAATTCACATTCGCATTATATGCACTACAAATGTATGAAAGTGTACGTTTATTTCTATTCTTTATTCATCCATAGCTTTTCAGAGGTTTTCTTTGGGACCAATAATAGCCGAATTGGTGGAAAGTACTGGAAGGTGATATACAGAGAATATACAGATAAGACTTTCACCTTAAAGAGAAAGCAAACCAGTGCTCAGACTCATCTAGGCATTCTGGGTGAGTGGATCATTGCAATAACAATAATATTATCAGCATTTGCAAGAAAGTGTTTTATAAGTCTGGTTTGCACTACCATCATGGTTCCTGTAGGTCCAGTACTGAGGGCAGAGGTTGGAGATACACTTCAGGTGATGTTCATGAATAAAGCTGACAGAAACTACAGTATCCAGCCTCATGGACTCCAGTACGACAAACCCTTCGAGGGAGTATTTTATCAAGATGGTGAGATTTATTTTACACTATCAGGCTAAAGATCAGGGTATGCTTACTTTTTTTTTTTTTTACCCATATGTTAAAATAAAATATTAATAAAGAAGCCAAACATTTTGACTAATATATATATATTAATATTATTCACTTAATATATATAAAGTCAGAATTCTGAGCTATAAAGTCCAAATTTTGAGAAATAAAGTCAGAACTCTGAGTGATAATATCAGAATTTAGAGTTGTAATGTCGCAATTCCAAGTTAAAAAGTCAGAATTCCGAGTTTTAAAGTCGCAATTCAGAGTAATAAAGTCAGAATTCTGAGTTATAACACCGCAATTCAGAGTAGTAATCTGAAATTTGAGTTATAAAGTTAGAATTCCGAGTAATAAAGTCACAATTCCGAAATATATAGTCAGAATTCCGAGTTATAAAGTCAATTTTAAGACATAATGTCCGATTTCAGATTTAAAATGTCAGAATTTAAAATTATGGTCATATTTCAGAGTAATAAATCAGAATTCAGAGTTATAAAGTCAGAATTCTGAGTTGAAAAATCAGAATTACAAGTTATAGTCGCAATTCCGAGTACTAAAGTCAGATCTCTGAGTTTAAAAGTCAGAATTCAGAGTTATAGTCACAATTTAGAGCAATAAAGTCAGAATTCAGAGTAATAAAGTCAGAATTCAGAGATATGAAGTCAGAATTTCGAGTTGATAAATCAGAAATCCAAATGATAAAGTCACAATTTAAAGTAATGAGGTCAGAATTACAAGTTATAAATACAGAATTCCAAGATATAAAGTCGCAATACGGAGTAAGTCAGAATTTAAAGTTTTAAAGTCGGAATTCATTCAATTAAAAGCAATAAAGTCGGAGTTCAGAGTAATAAAGTCAGAATTCCGAGTTTTAAAGTCACAATTTAGAGTTATAAAGTCAGAATGCTAAGTAATAAAGTTAGAATTCTGAGTTATAAAGTTGCTTCCATATATTTATGCTTACATATGTCTAATAATGCTATGAAAACTGAGAGTGACTTCGTTTTAGTGTTCATCCTCCACGATTACTACCGCACAGACTCAAATTGACATCATTGGCATCACCGTTTAAAATTTCACATTAGCCATATCTTTTTGGGCTTCATTTGTCTACAGTGGAAAGCCTTGAGCATCTTCTCTGCAGTGTTTCAAAGTATGCTCATTTCATAGTGAACACAGGAGCTCAACACATGCAAACTCAGTCAATAGTCTTTTTTTTTTAGTTTTTCCCGAGTAATACATGTCTTCTAATGTTGTAGGTATAAAGAGAAAAGGATATGAAGTTCAGCCAGGTGAAACGTTCACCTACATGTGGAAGTTGAGGGAAGGACCGTCTGAAAGTGACCCCCCCTGTATTTCCTACCTGTACTTTTCCTCCAGTGATGCAGTCAGAGACACTAACTCTGGCCTCGCAGGCCCCCTGCTGGTGTGTAAGAAAGATGCGCTGACATCAAGTGGCACTCAGGTAAAATGAGGCAAACATTTTAAAACTAGCTGCTACATTAGCCATTGAATGGTGATATTAACATATGCAAATAAAGCTAAATATTTATTTTCATATGTGATTTGATTTTCCAACAGAAAGAGGTGGATCATGAGTTTTTCCTGCTTTTTACTGTGTTCAATGAAAACCTCAGCTGGTACTTGGATCAGAACATTGAAACCTTTGGCACCAATGAGTCAGACCCAGAAAATCTGGACTTTCAGGAGAGCAATAAAATGCATGGTATTTACACACACCATAGACCCTTTTTACATTTCACGTTTCAGCCCAGTGAATAGGAGAGTACCACAAATATTTGTTTTATTTCAGTTAGCTCAAAAAACATAGTGTTAATGACTTTCAGAAAAGGGGAAAAATTGCATGAGACTAATAACGGCAGCCAGGAGAGAGAACAATGTTAAATTTACTGTTCCACCGACAGACACTGCATTAAAACTAATTTTTTACAAATTTTTTACAATTTTTTTTATAATTGAATGCAAAGATAATATAATACAAAGTATAGTAAAGTATAAATATACATATATATATATATTTTTTAAATATCTAAATTTGAAAAACTTTTGAGGGTTTAAGAAACTGATGACCCTTACATCACAGTCTCATTAATCAGACCTTCAGACTTACACCAAAGGTTGTGGACTCCAGTGCAGCATTCACTAGCCAAAGACCACTAGAGGTCATGTAACAGATCAAAGTTTTTTAGTATGACGATTAGGGGTGTGAAAATGCAACACCAATGTCCGTAAAATAAACAATTGGAGAGTAAATCTCTTGGATGAGTTTTAAAGGATGCCATAAGCTATACAAACTTTTTGTAAATCCAGCTAATCAAAAACATTATTACAAACTTAAACACGTTTACTTTCTTCAATATACTTTCTTCCAAGCAAAATGCTAAAAACGCAAACATTGAATAGGTCTAATAGGAAGCCTGAATTCATATCAGCTGCAAACATTTTGTATTTTGTGTGAATTAGATATTCAGCCTGCAGTTCATAAGTGGCCTTGAGCCATGACATCTGAGGATAAAGACTTTTTAAGCAGAGCATGATTAAATGCTATAGTATCTGGATGCAGCCTTTATGATGCAAGCTGAGATTGCATCACTCAGCGATGCCATGTCAGACACAATGCACTCAAATGGAGAAAGTGACATCACTGTGAGGGGTAGAGTTAGGGGTAGGGTTAGGTGAGCCCATTAAAAAGCATTGGGTGCAGCTCAGATTGCACTGCACCAGGTCTGCATCCAGACCCCTCTCATTAAATGACGCAAATGTCAGATGTTTCATAAATCCCTATGAAGTTTTCCACAACAGGGTCGATCAATCGCAATATTACCAAGCAAGGTTTTTCCTTTTTATGACCAGTGTGTTGATTTCCCCCTTTTGCCCAATGATGAAATGGGCTGCCCAGTTAGATTCGAGCTTTAAAATCTAATGGAGCTGTAGCACATAAGCAGGTTTGAAAACCGGTGTCAAGTATTTGTAATGTTTGAAGTCTGAGAAGAAAGAATATTAAAAGTGACGAGATACATACAGTCATGTTAGAAAAGTTAGAACACCTTAATAGAATTCTGTAGCTTGCGGTGTCAGTACATAATAAGAAATGTTATGGTCCTAGACAGGTCCTAAAATTTGTAAGATAGGTTAAGATTTGTAAGATTTAATTAACAAAAAAGAGTGACAAACTTCGGACAGATTCAGATGCCTGCAGATCCTGGAGTTTTTTAGCACAGCTCTCACCACAGCATTTCAGTCAGAATGAGGTCTGGACTTTGACTGGACTATTGCAGCCCCTTGATTTTTTTCTATGTTTGGGATAATAAGTTTATATATGCAGAAAACACTAATAATTGCACAATGTTTTCAAGAAATATGGGGTAAAGGAAGGTGTCTGGTACATATGAAGAGGAAAAGAATGTCACCCAGTTCCAATAGTATCTGGATGCAGCTTTTATGATGCAAGCTGAGATTGGATCCAGGTCTGCATCCAGACCCCTCTCCCCAGTTGAGCCATTTGATTAGCAGTGCCTGACTAATTTTTTGTTAATATTATGTGTTGTTATCATCTAAGGTTTTATTTTTTAAATATTAAGAACTGCCAAAGATCAGATATTATATGTCGAAAATGTATAATGTTATAAGATGTCCAAACTTTTTCACATGAAAGGGAAAAAGAGCAGAATGAATTCTGTAGTTAGCAGATTTCCAAAAAAATATACTGTTGTGGTCTGTGCCACCTTGCGTGCAGGCATGAATCATGAGTCATTTCACATTCTGCATGAAAGTTTGTTGGCAATTTGGCTGACTTTATCACACTGTGCTCTGTGCGTGCAAATTCCATTTTAATTCCCTGCACACACATTCATCTTTTATTATTTTTTAATTGCCATTTTCAAATTCTCTTCGAGCACTTGTTAAATTCAACAGCCCAAATGCATCTATTGGAGGCACATGTGCAAAATACTTAGTTCTCCCACGGGAATAGCAACAAACAGACAAATGAAGCATATTTTTGGCTTTAAAGAAAGTTTATCAGGGGTGAAATGTGAATTTAAAGTCATTTGAATGTTTTAGACCAATCTAAACCCTTTTTTGTGTAATGCAGCTGTGAATGGCTTCATGTATGGGAACCTACCTGGCCTTGAGATGAATAAGGGGTCCAGGGTCAGATGGCATCTTTTAGGACTTGGCACAGAGATGGACATTCATGGCATTTACTTCCAAGGCAACACCTTCGAGAAACAGGGCACAACACATGACACTCTGAGCCTGTTTCCACACACTGCAGTCACTGTTTTCATGCAACCAGATGTCAGTGGTCAGTATCAGTTCCATACGTTCCCATTCCATGCTATTCCTGAAAATTGCATAAATTAATGCAAATGGCAAGACATTGGTTTGGTGTTTGCACTAAAATGTAAAGTGATTTTAAATACATTGTAAATAATTTACTGCAAAAGAGTGTCTATTTTAATGTTTCAGATAACTTTGTGAAAATAAAATGATTCTGGCTGTACTTATTAAACACTGTATATATGAGCAATATCACACGATTAGAAGTGTGATATGGCCGTATATTAGCACTGGTGGCATGTGTGTCCCACCAGTGACGATATACAGCCATATTGCAGTGCTACTCATGTGATATTGCGTTTACACAACAGTTCGACAGCATAATCATGTATATAAAAAAGAAAATCAAACACAGAGTATCTAAAAATTTTTTTGTATGAGAACCTACTTTTTTCAGCCATTCATTCACATCTGCAGTTGACATCAGTACAGCAGAAACCGTTGATACGTCACCAACGTCATTTTAGAGCTAGTGTTTGAATGATTCTCTAGCGTAATGTCTAAAGTGATGACAAAAACTGTTATTTTGCTGAAATTTTAAGATTATAAGGCTGAACGGCATGAAATGCCATCAATCTACAGAGATTTCCCAGTATTTCTCAGTTGCAATCGCGAGATCACAATGATTAACCTGACAAAGGCAAAGCAAAGCAAATGCTACCAGATTACTATGGTATAAATACAGCACTACAGCATACAAAAGAGAGAGATCAACTTACCACAACTGTCACTTACCAGTTTTATAATGATTTGATCAGCTGTTATTTGAAATTTTGCGCTGCGTTTTTCTTCCCTTAAGGATGTATTATGTGGTCTCTGTAACCATCTTAACAACTACACTCTCGCCTAATAAGTACATGATGTTGTCCAACGGCTGCAATATTCATCAAACTGTAGTGAGTCTATTGATTTGCTTTCATTCCATGTGGGTGGAGTAATACACAAGGGTGAATAGGCTGTATGAGTCCTCATATTGCAGAAAATCACACGGCTATAAGCCAATCAGATTTGAGAACCAGACAGAACTGCTGTATAAAAAAGAATAAGGGGTCATATTCAATTTTTTTACATTTCAAACTAATAAAAATGCTGACAAATAAATAAATTGCCAATCAATGTCGCTTTACAATTCTATTCTTTACTTTTCTTTGTTTTGTTTTTACTAAATACATATTTAATGTATTTGAGAGAAGGTTCTTGTTGTGATCGGTTTTATATAAAAGTTTAAAAGTACAACAAAAATGTATTTTATGTTCACCAAGGCCAAATTAACAAAAAATAAAACATTAAAAAAATTATATAATTTAAAAGAAAATGTGTTTAAAATAATGTTTTTTTTAATTATTTTCCAATTTATTTCTGTATTACTTATATTCATTCATTCATTTTCTTTTTGGCTTTATTAATTTTATTAAATTAAACCTTTATTAATCTGGGATCGCCACAGCGTAATGAACTGCCAACTTATCCAGCACATGTTTTACGCAGCGGATGCCCTTCCAGCTGCAAAACATCACTGGAAAACATCCACACACACTCATTTGCACGCATACACTACGGACAATTTAGCCTACCTAATTTACCTTTACCACATGTCTTTGGACTTGTGGGGGAAACCGGAGCACCCGGAGGAAACCCACGCAAACATGAGGAGAACATGCAAACTCCACACAGAAACGCCAACCGACCCAGCCGAGGCTTGAACCAGCAACCTTCTTGCTGTGAGGCGAACGTGCTACTCACTGTTCCATCGTGCAGCCTGTATTATATTCTATTTATTTATTTTTTATTTCAGTATGCTCCAGTCCTTTAGTGAAAATTATTATAAAAAAATTAAAATAAATAAAATACATATTTAATGAAAAAAATGGAAGATAATAAATAATAAATGTAAAATTACTGATAACAAAAAAATAAAAAATAAATAAGTGAGCACAAATAATAACTCATGATAATAATAATGATTTCTGAAGGATAATGTGACTGTAATGACTGGAAAAATGATTCAACTTAACCGTCACAAAACCAAACTGATTTTAAAATATTTTAGCCATTTTAATAAATGTAACACTTCTTTCAATCAATAAATTAATAAATGGATGAATCAATAAATGAATGGATCAACCAATCAATAAATCAAAATATAATTCCTAACCTGCTACATGATAAGCTAGTGTGTCTTTTCTGTGACTGCAGGTGTATTTGAGCTGAGCTGTCTAGTGTGGGATCACTATGATAGTGGGATGAGACAACTGTATGAAGTGACAGGACCAAGATATGAAGAGCCCTCAGTCTCACCATCTGAGACAGTGGAGTATTTCATCAGTGCTGAAGAGCTGGAGTGGGACTATTCGCCTGATCGCACATGGGAACTGCAGAACTTCAACACAACGGAGGATGAAAGGCAGGTCCATGTGCTATAGCGTTTGTTGGTATTGCAGTGTTTGAATGGCTTCTGAAACCACATTTTTGTCTCAGTCCTGGCAGTCTATTTGTAGGAACAGGAGGAAACAAACTGGGCTCCAAGTATAAGAAAGTAGTTTATCGAGAATACACCGACGCCACCTTCAGGACAAGAATAGAAAGAGAACCTCATGAGACACACTTGGAGATTTTAGGTGACTCAGTTCTAACAATTTACAATATTTTCTTCATTTGAATGCACAAATGATAACCTGTGTGTATTTTATAGGGCCTATGATCAGAGCTGAAGTTGGCCAGGTTTTGTTGATCACGTTCATGAATAAAGCTAGTCATGCTTACTCGATACAAGCACATGGAGTCAGATCTTTTACTTCAAAACCTGAGGCCGTCATGCCAGGTAGAGGAAGAAGAAACATCCACCATTTGTAAAGCACCACCTGTGAAATGTACAAAAAAGTTATTTCAGGGATTAATAATGAGGCTTTTTTAAAACCTTAATCTGTCTTTTAGTCAAACATTTACTAAGTTTTCCTCACTATGTGACATAGAATGTTGTTTTCTAGCAAACACAAATGAAACTGTTTACTGCAGGTAATATGACTCAGTACCAGTGGATCATTCCGGAGAAATCCGGTCCAGGCGTGTCTGATCCAAACTGCATTGCTTTTGCCTACTGCTCAGCTGTGGACTTTGTTAAGGTAAAGCTCTTAGTATTGGAAACTAAAGAGATTTAATTTCTTACAGTGGATAATAATAATCATAATATTACAATTTAATTTAAATTAATAATATTATTAATAATTACAATTTATGCCACTTTTAGTCAGACATTTAAAATAAAATAATATTTGTTGTAATATGTAAATAATAGAAATAACAATTATTAATATTAATTTATTCAAGAAAAATTTATTACATTTAAACAGTTTTAATATATTAATATTGTAACTTCAAATAATATAAATGTTTAAATTGTATTTTAAAGAAAGAAAAAGATATTACCTCTAAATTTTAATAATAATTTTATATTAATATTATTGCTATACTTTAGTTTTTGGCTTTTGATGGTTTGTGTGCTAATAATAAAATAATGATAATAATAATAATAATAGTTATTAGTATCTTTTATAAATATTATTATAATCAAATATGATGCAATTACAATACTACTGTCATTTATTCATTTACTACTACTATTTTGGTATTCTACTACTACTTATAACATTAATATCACTACTACTACTACTGCTGCTACTACTACTACTACTACTACTACTACTACTACTACTAATAAAATAAATGTTATAAGTATTATATATATATATATATATATATATATATATATATATATATATATATATATATATATATATATTATTTTAATCATATATGATGCACAGACAATACTATTGTCAATTATTCATTTATATCTAATAAGAGCTTGATTAGCTGGTTCAGGTGTGTTTGATTATGTTTGGAGCTAAACTCTCCAGTACACCGGCCCTCCAGGACCAAGTTTGGATACCCCTGATTTACTACTTTTTTGGTATTCTACTACTACTTATACTATTATTATTAATAATAATAATAATCAAAAAGTAATAATAATAATAATACGCACTATGAAATTAAAATAGTATTTACTCTGAACAACAACTACACTTGTTATTAATTGATTTCTTTTTAGGATACAGCCAGTGGTCTGATTGGGCCATTAATGATCTGCAGGAAGGGAACACTGAACCAGGATAGACAGAGAACTGATGTGGACAGAGAATTTGCTCTCCTTTTCATGGTGTTTGACGAGAACAAATCCTGGTACCTGGAAGAAAACATTGAATCCTACTACAACAGCTCAGAACCTCTTCTAAGAGATGACGAGTTTCAGAAAAGCAACAAGATGTATGGTGAGAGGTTTCAATAGTTATCTATAATAACTATCCATTCTGCTGTAATAGGCAAAGAAATGTCAATTTGTGACCACTAGGAGGCATTGTTTGATGATGGATAAATGGAGGGAGATTTATTATTTTCTATTTCATATCAGAGCACAGTTTTAGAAAAGCAGATTTTAAGATAGATAACTATTTTCATAACACCAAACATTGCTGTTTTCTGTCAGGGATAAATGGAAAAGTCTATGCAAATCTTCGGGGACTGGAAATGGTGGTAGGGGAAAGAGTGGTCTGGTACTTGTTTGGGATGGGTAATGAAGCAGATATTCACACCGTCCATTTTCACGCTGAGACCTTCACCTACAAGGTGAAACAATGAGCATTGCTTATATTCACAAATATACACAATGAAAGACACACTAAACCAACTGAATGGCTCAAACTGCTTTTTCCAGACAGATCATACTCACCGTACTGATGTGTATGACCTGATTCCGGGGTCATTTCAGACATTAGAGATGGTGGCAGAGGTCAATGGAACATGGCTTCTGCACTGTCATGTCTCACACCACATCCTTGGTGGAATGGACACCACTTTTATCATCAAACCTCGATCAGGTGAGCTACAGCTATAAGGCCTCAATATGTTTCAAATAAGCTGAATCAAAGTTAAAGGGTGAATCAAAAAAAAGAATCATTTTTTAAGAATTTGAGAGAAATGTAATAGTTTAGAGTTCATAAAAAAATAAAAACAAAATTAGCTTAGAGTTAATTCTAGCAGTTTGAACACGTTGGGCAAATTTTGCCTAAAAGTTTGCTTTGGAAGCAGGGTTGCCAGATCCAAGAAAACTATCCAGCTCAAAACTCTTCCAAAAGGATTGAAAAGTAGCCCAATTACTCCACCTTTTCCAATTAGAGTCAACTTTTATTCCCACAAAGAGAAATGTTTACCATATCTTTTCTGACATTTTGTGACTACTAGATTAGTGTACTAGATACAGTATATGTGTTAAAATAATGATGTACAGTACGCCAAACAACACCTCATATACCATTCTAAGATGTGGGCGTAATGAATGGTCTGCTCATTTTATATGTGACACACTATGGGTTGTCAAATATGCATTCCAGGATCAACATTAAGAACCTATTACGTTTTTATTAGGCATTTCTGAGAAAGAAACATTTACAGATCATGACAAGTTATGAAAGTAGCCTCAAAAAACACAACCTGCAACTTCCTATTTTTTGTCCAACTGTATTTTCCAATTGTGTAGATAAAAAATCTGTAGTCCTGGAAACACTTTGCAGCAGATACATAACTTTCCAAACAACCATTGGTCTGTGGTGACTGTAAGTCTGTCAAGGTCAGATATCTGCAAGTAAAAACTTACACTGTTGTAGTAATGGGGAAAAAATATATATAAAACATTCATTCATTTTCTTTTCAGGTTAGTCCTGTTATTATTCAGTGGTCGACACAGTGGAATAAACCGATAACTTATCCAGCATATATTTTACGCAGCAGAGGTCCTTCCAGCCACAACCGAACACTGAGAAACACCCATACACTCTTGCATTTACACAAATACACTACAGCTAATTTAGCTTATTTAATTCACCTATAGCAAAAGTCTTTGGATTAGTGGGGAAACCGGAGCACCAGGAGGAAACCCACACAAACAAGGGGAAAACGTGCAAACTCCACACAGAAATGCCAACTGATCCAGCCGAGGCTTTAACCGGTGACCAAAACTCCATATGCTAGGCACACCTTCTGGTCATAATCATGTAATGCAACAAAATCATACATTTAAAATAGTATTTTTAAACATATTGCAAACTTTATATTAAAAGTTTAACCTATAGCTTATCCTATAATATGTATGTGTCTGCAAAATATCCCTGCTTTCATACATTTTCAAGGCTTAAAGGCTTAAATATTGTTTGTTCCATGGTGGGCTCTGCTAAACAGGCCCACGAAAGACTATTAGCTAATATTATTCCAACAAGCTAGCAAAACTTATCTGAGATCAGGTAAGTACAAGTGAAACCTGTTTTGTGATTTGCCACATGGTGGCGATCTGAGTAACCCGTTCAAGTGGATTTTATGACAGTACATAGAATAATATAATATGATGAAATAGAATATGGTATTTTATTATGTAAAGCACTATTTAAGTTTTTAAATGTTTCGAAACAGTTATGATATTATGAAGCCCCGTTTACAGAAATCATGTGAGCTTGCTGATGTGATGCATTCTCCGAATCATTGATTTGAAACAAAAGATTTGTAACAGGTTCAAAGTTTCATGAAGCAGTACGAAAGCAGCCATCACTACACTCTAAAGCTGCTTTTTAGACAGTTGCAGTGCAATTCAAACTGGAAGCAACACTGATTTATCATGCTCAGTCTTGTAATGCTGCTTACAATAAAATAATCTACTGTATAAAGTTCTATAGAAATAAAAATGACATGGCAGCCTGATCTCACAAGGGAAAGTATTTTTCTGTTTTGTCAGTTTAGTGGCTAATTCGTACAAATTCAGTCGTATATGAAAATGTACAATTTTTAAAAGGAGGAGTATCACCAAAGCCCACCCCTAAACCCAACCATCATTGGGGGATGAGCAAATCATACTAAATTGTTTGAATGAGAATAAGGATGATTTCGTTCAAATTAGCCACTAAATCAAAAAGTTACCAAAAATTGCCATGAGATGGACATGCAGAAGTGGCGAATAACAGAGCTTGTGCAAAAATCCACATCACAATGAATTCATGCTTTCTTAACGGCTGTTTTCTCAATGCTAATTTATTTGTTTGTTTAATTTGTTGCGAGGAAAACATGCAGAATGTATATTCAACTAAATTCCACACCTACAAAAATAAAAATAAAAAATAAATTACGGTGTGCATGTTGAGACCTGTAGTGGAATGGTATACTATTATTTACAGATGTTTACTCACAGATTATTGATCTGCTGTCTGTGGTTCTTATTTTTCAGGTGGTGACTCTGTGAGGAGAGATTTAAACATCATTTGTGTGCTGATCACAACATTCATGTTCAAACTCATATATTGATCCTTCTGTAGACATATATTGTACTTAAATACTCTTAACAAATATATTTAAGCAGTGTTCAAAAGTTTAGGGCCAGTAGGATTGTCTCCCCTCTTATGATCACCAAGGTTTATGAAAAATACAGTAAAACCTGTATTGTGGAATATGATTAATTTCAATTTAAAAGTTTTTTGTTTGTTTGTTTTGTTTTTAGTGTCAGTTCTGCTTAATATTTTTGTGGAAACCATTTTTCGCCAGGATTGTTTAATGAAGTAAAAAAAAAGCAATTGTTTGAATTAGTTTATGTAACATTGCAATTTTTTGTGTTTATTCATTAAATTTCTTTCAGTTTAGCTCAGGGGTCACCACAGCAGAATGAACCACTAACTACTCTGGCACATGTTTTGTGCAGCGAATATGCTTTTTGTTGTAAATTTTAATCAATTTAACTCATACTGAATAAAAATATTTTCCAAAATCCCACTGCCCCTAAAACTTTAAACATTATTGTAAAATTAGTATTTGTGCTGAAATTACAATTTAAGTATCTGTTTAGACTCACAGTGCTTGTAGATTTGAGATGATTTGCTATTCATTTATATATCAAAATAAAACAATTATCAGCATTGAAATGTGAAACTCACTGTAATACCCAGTGAGAGAAATTCCCTTAAATCCCACCTGAGCAAAGATATGTTAATAAGCATTTGCTTTCAATTTCATTTGAAGTCCTTTAAATAAAGATTGCCTCGATAGTTATGAATGTAAAATGGTAAAGTCATGAATTTCTCAAGGCTGTTTGAAAAAAGGAACTGAAATCGCAGAGGACGTGTTAAAGTGAAAAACAAGTGTGAGCTGATTGGAGCTTATGTAACTTGGTGAGCAGTTGTTTTTGTTCCTCTTGGGTCGTTTGATGTGCTCTTTTTCAGCTTAGAGCTTGGAGTTCTCAAATGACTGTACTTCATCACGTAGACTTCAAGTAATCGGAGGATTATGATGTAAAGAAATGAACTTTGTCAGTAAACATTTGACTTTACGTCCTCAAGTGACTTCATAGAATATTGTCAACATCTTTGAATGGTTCCTATATTTCTTATCACAACTGCTGTTTTGCAAAGATAGCTGGCTAAAACCCCCTGATCAAGCATTTACTCTTCACAGTGATAAAGTGAGAGGCATTGATCACATACGTGAAAGAGGCCATTAGCTCACAATGGGAAAGAATGCAAAGCTGATTTAAAAAAACAACCTCACTGACACCCTGAAATGTATCATTACTCGTTTTAAGGAAGAAAAAAAAAAACAACTAGGTGAATAGTATAATATAATATAATATAATATAATATAATATAATATAATATAATATAATATAACAAAACAAAATGTGTGTGCGTGTATACATACACACACAATTAACTTTTTTTGTGTCTGACAGATATCAGTCATCAGTCACACTGATATGACAGTGATATCAAGTTTTGCTGATTAGGGTGATCAAATTCTTTCATGCAATGATTTAGCCTAATCGAAAACACCAGACTAGCGTGCGAGCAGCTGTCTTGGCGGTTGTTTGTAAAAAAATGATGTTTAAATGTTTGTAATAAGGTTTATAAGTAGATTGAAAGTAATACCCAGTCACAGCTTTGCGCTTGTCAGAGCAGGTCCCCCAGAACGCGCACGCGAGCGCGCACAATCTCTATAACACGAGGGCGACGTGTTTCGAGAATAACAACCTGATTTACACCCGGTGTCTGCAAGAGCCTGTACTGTACTGTTGAAAACTGCCGTGTTTACGACAAAAAAAGCAATATAAATATATCTGTAAAACATTTCTGTCACTTAATGTGAGCGTGATACATTTCTGTGGCCAAAACTATTACGTGTTCATAATTTCCATGGGACCAGCTTAACCTGGTTTAGATGAATTTGACAGAAAAATGGGTCAAGCAAGGTATTTTTTCTTCAGCTTGTAGTTAATAAATTAAACAATGAGGTAACTTCCTAGCCTCACTCCTTCCAGACACTTCGAGCTGTTTTTGTTTATTTCTGACGATGACACAGTTTGCTGCCTTGTTTTTTCAGACTTATCTACAATTGTGCAGTTCAGCAGATTAACTTTTGCTGCCCCTGATTCCTCACAGAGAAAGAAAAACAAAATTATAAACAAGTAATGCAGAGCAGTTTTGTTTCAGCTAATTACCTGCATAGCTGTATTTTCTTAGAGACTTATCTTCATACATCTTCAGATGTCAATGCTTTGCCAGGTATAATACACATTTTAGGAAATACATTATAATCAATACACTCTGTCGAAAAAAAATTGATTTCAGCGTTGATGATAAAAGGGGTTCCTCGATAATGAGGTGAGTAACCTAAAAACTACTTCCTGCAGGGCATCAAACCCATTTTACTCGTTTTTCCAAACGCAGATAAACAACTGCAGGCTCACCTGTGGACGGCCCGTGATTTTTCAGTGCAGCCTGACACTCGCAGCTGATTGGCTCACGGATGAATTCAGCCTCCTAAAGCAGCCAATAGAAATGGTCCGATGCTTTCCTCACATGAAACCGCTATAAATTAGACAGTCGCTCAAAAAGAAGTTCTTAGTAAGTGCCGGTGACAGCAGGAGGACAGAGAGGGGAAGAGAGAGCAAAGGCATCAAAGCGTACACCACTCTGCACTAAAAGGCTACAGAACTTGTTTGCCTGTCTCTCAAAGGTTTGTTTTTTATTTGTATTAATTTTTTACAAATATGCATTAAATGCAATGTTAGTATATTCAATTCAAGACAAAGAATATTATTCTTACATTTAATCACGTTATTTCCTAATTTCCTAAAATGCATGTGTATTTGATGTAAAAGCAACACTAAGATATAAATGATAAATGTCAAACAGATATAAATCTAGATAAGTTTAGAACTTAATTTCCTTTTGTTCTATAGCTTTTATAAATCTCTCTTTTATATCTTACAGTATGTCTGATCAATGTGTGGGGTCTACTATAATATGAACTATGTAGTTTTGGGACTCCTCCCAGTAACTAGTATTGCTCTGATCTGCAAAGGAAACAAACTTACTTTGAAAAGTGTAATTAATGACAAAAAAAAGTGTGAAGTGGTTTCAATGGATCGACACATCTTAAGAGCTCAAGAACTCAACAAAAGCACATGCTTGCTTTAATACTATTATTAATGTCTTTATTTTCTACAGCACATTTCTAAATAACTTTTAACCTGCTTTTTCCAATAAAATTCCTCCAATATATTTACCTTTTTTTGTTCCACAGACTGTGAGGTTTGATTCCACCAGACTCAGTCGACCACCCTTTTCCTCTACTGCTTGCTTTCCTACTCTTTGCAGCCATGGCACCCACTCTGGCCACAGCGTTTGCCCGTCGTTGGTGGATGGCAGTAACAGCCATCATTGAAAATCTGCTGTTCTCTGCCGTGCTGCTGGGCTGGGGTTCCTTACTCATCATGCTGAAGTCTGAGGGCTTTTATTCATACCTCTGCACAGATCCAGGTAAGAGTTACTTTTTACCTTTTTATCTGATGCCACAGAAAAATTCCACAACAAAGTAAAAATGATATATTTATATATTTACACTGATAAGAACAATATTTTACATTCTAAATAACCTCAGGGTGAATACTTCTTAAAGGGTTAGTTCACCCAAAAATGAAAATTCTGTTATTTATTATTCACCCTCCTGTTGTTCCAATCCCTTGAGATTTTCTTTCATCTTCAGAACACAAATCAAGATATTTTCGATAGAGCCCCTTAATTTATCCTCCACATACAGCAATGGTCCCGACAATCAATGTCCAGAAAAGAAACTAAAAAACCCAAACATTGCTCATAGTAAATGAGCACTCTGATTAGATGAATTAGAAGATAATTTACAGTTTTTTTGACAAACAAACATGTTTTTGGAGTTTCATATAATTACAGTTGTGCTACTGAAGTTACATGGACTATTTTGACAATATTTGTAGTTATTTTTCTGAACTTGAAACGTCTCAGAACTGTTACTGTCTATGGAGGATTGGGGAGCTCTCAAATTGTGACTAAAATATCTTAATTTAAAACTAAATGAGTGATCTAACCCATTCAAACATTTTTTTTCTCATTACTAAGATAGTAAGCCTCATAATATATGTTCATTCATTTAACAGTTCTCTCAGTGAGATGAAATCTGAACATAAATATGAGACATTTTAACATGCTAAAACAAGGTGTAAATTGTAACAGCTCTTGGCTGAGTACTTGTGATTTGATCACTGAAAATGATACCAAGTAGAAACAGGGTCTTAAAGATTTTTAAAGAATGATTATTAAAGGTTCTTCATTGAACCACAAATGCATAAAATGATACACTTTTCTGAAGAACCAATGCAACATCAACAATGAGAAGTCAAGAAGCCTGTGTAGGAATTTAGAATAGTCACTGAATAACAGTGGGATCACAAGTCAAGCCTGTGATTTTATCTATCATGCTTTGTTTATTGGTCAGTATGCAAATTGGCAAATTCCACTTAACTATTCTTTCAAATCTGATCGTAAAAGCCCATAAAGACCGTCTAACACTACTGGTAGGATTCTACTTTTAAAGCCATGTGTATTGTTCAGTAATAAGTCTCTGACAGTAGCGTTTAATGTGGTGTAACTGATTGCTCTTCACAACAAAACACTTTTGTGAAGATTTCCCTCAGGAGCCTCACAGCCACAGACACCACCACAAACTTTCAGTAAATCAGCTGGTAGTCACAGTTGCTAAAACACTGGAATGTTGAATGTTTTTAACAAGAGCCCTGACCTAATCAAATGCACCTTTAAATCGAGAAGGCCTAGAGTCTGTTTGGTGTTATTTTAGATGTTTACCTTCTCAGTTAGAACCTCAGACCTACTGATTGGCTCGACTGATTGAACTGATTGTTTTTGGTATTGATTAGCATCACATAAGAACATGTTTTTGTCTTACTGTGACTGGTGATGCCCTTTTATCGCTATCTTGTTCTCTCTCTGAAAGCATTGGGCTTGATTTAATAGAACATGGGGACATTGAGACCTATTTAACCACAAAAGCTGGTTTGAAATTTCAAGGCAGACAAGAAGAAAGGGGGCAAAAGAGGGGCAGAATACAAGAAAAAGAGCTGTTTGTTAAGGAAACTGTAGGAGGCTTATCGTTTGGGTAGATCTAGGAATACCACTTCTTCTGGGCAGAGTGGTGGGTATCTTACGTGTCTGTCTGTCTGCTTGGCATGACACTTTTGCATAGGAAAGTGCTTATGTCATTAGTTCTTGCTGCTGTCATAGTTCCTGTTTTTTGACAGCACTCAGCTGATTGACTGCCCTTTTGGTCAGTCACATTATTGTGATGTAATGAATCTGTCTCAGCGAGAATCATTTGTGCACAAGACAGTTCTCAGCAGTCTTAAAGTCCACAGATAAGTCTCAAAGGACAATGTCATTTGTCAGCATTCACATTCTTCATCTTTGACCATTTTTGAATAATGCGAAGCATGTGAGGAGGACTCTTGTGGTTTAGTCCATGAGCTGAGAATTTGCATTTGAGCTGCAATCTTTAAAGTAATCATGATAACAGTTCTTTATCACATTCACGCTTTCTTTGAAATTAGGTTTGGGACACTTTGTAAGGTGCATGTAGCTCATTCACAATCTGTTCCTTACAGTACCTTTTATCAGATCTGGCCATCAAGCTAATAGCTGTGAATGAACAGAACAACCCCACCTTGTTTTGGCTCCCACTTGTTCCCCAATCAGTACCTAAATCTCTGAATTAATTTAGTTTAATCTTTACAAATTCTTTTAGGAATGTTTGTTCAGTGTTAGTTCAGAGTTAGTGCTTCAATTCAGATTTTTAGATTCATTTAAAGATTTTTATGTAAAAAATTCCCAATTTAGATTTTTACTCAGACCGTATTTACAGTACACCTAGTCTTAAGATTCATTTCCACCGTCCAATCATAAGATGCTGCATAAAAGTATTAAAGAGGTCTAAAGTATTTTGGGCTTGTCCAGTGT